AGATCCTTAGCACCAACGCAAAAGCAAGAGGCGGTGGCATATATCTGCAATCCCAGCACTGGGAGGCAGAGACAAGAGGGTCCCAGGCATTTTACACACTGGTGAGCTCCCAGATCCAGTTTCAGATAAACAAGGTAGACATGAAGGACAACCACCAAAGTCAGCCTCTGGTGTTGTGGGTTATTAACATTCATCATTGATTTATCGTTTAGTTGAACAGTGATTATTCCTAAGCCAGCTGTATACCCAAATCACCACACAGAGACTAGGATTTATTTAATTAACCTAGAGCATAATGCCGGGCAATAGTTGCTCCATCCTAAACCTCCAAGCCTGCATAGTTCGTCCCATTCAGATTTCCCACATTATGCCTGCTTTTAGGCATATCTTAGATCCAGTTCATCTCTCCTCATGGTTCCAAGTCCTCTCCTGCAGATCTCTCCTCTCCGACTACTCGCTTCCTTTTCTTCCCTTCTGGACCAGGATGTCCCACCCTATTTTCTCCATTGCTCAGCATTGGCTGGTACAAATGGTGGCATGTTTACACAGACTTGAGACAGGTGTTGCTTAGAATAAACATCACAACGAAATGTCTGGATTGAAACCAGAGAGTGAGGTAGAGAAATCAGCATGTGAATGAACAAGGGTAAATTGTACACCTTCCACAAGAACATTATACCACCTCTCTGGCCCCTGCACACGTGTGTGCACAGGAACTTGCAAAGGTTGAGTGTGCATGTGATACAAGGTGACCCATCCAAGAACTGTTTCCCTCTTACCTTCGGGGACGCTCGGTAAAGGATATCTGTGGTGACCCTACCCTGTTTCGACTCGTTTACCAGGGTGAGGGTGGGGGTAAGGGGGTGGGGGAAACGTAATGTGTGCTGGGTTGTGGGTGAGTGCCCTGGCTCCTCTGGGAGCCAGCCATCTGTGATGATGACTAAGGACGCTCACAGCAGGCGCAGTGCAATCTGGGGGACATGTGGCTTTCAGACAGCGGCCATTTACAGTAAAATCCCCAAAGGTCACCTTTCCCAATTTCCCATTCAATCCTTTCCTCGGGGCTGTGAGAGGAAAACACATTATAACTCTCCGACTTGGGGAAGAAAGACGAACCTTGCCAAGACCATGCACTGGGGTCTCTGATGCAGAGGAGCATGCTCCACTGTAGGGTTAATATCGGGGTTCCAAGCTGAGTCCTTCCTGTGCCATGCGCTTTCTGGCATGTTTCCATTTAACCCCTTCTTACCTAACTTTTACCAGTGGTGAGATGTGAATTGAGAAAATTCTTCATAGTGTTGGAGTTGAAATGAATCTATGCACTCATAGACCTGGCATCTAGAAAATGTTGAACAGCCACCTCCTGCTTCTTATTAGTACTCTTTTAAATGATTAAGCAAAACCCATGGGGGTAAGAGCTATTTGTTCATATCGAAGATTGATTTTATTTTTTAATTGTGTGTACTTGTGTGTTTTCACATGTGCATGCAGACACTCTGTGAGTCCGGAAGAGGGTGTCAGACCCCTGGAGTCACAGGTGGTTGTAAGCCACCTGATTTGGTGCTGCTAGCTGAACTCAAGTCTTCTGGAAGAGCAACGAGTGCTCTGAACCACTGAGCCATGTTTCCAGCCCAGGAGTCTCATTTAGGCTACCATGTCTATGTGTACATGCGCGCGCGCGCGCGCGCGCGCGCGCGCGCGTGTGTGTGTTCGCGCATGTTCTTGCATGTCTTGGAGTTGTCACACGTACACTCCTCTGTTCGTTCATATGGAGGTCCAAGGTTGATGTTTTAAATGATTTATAATCACTTTGTTCACCTTATCCATTGAGGCAGGGTACCTCAACCAAACCCAGAATCATCCCCCATACCACTACTCCTGATGGACGGCTTGCTCTGGGGCATCACCTGTTTTCAACTTCCCAAGCTGGAATTATAGGCTAGTTGCTATGCTTTCTGGGGACCCAAACTTGAGGTCCTCATGCTTGCAAGGACTAAGCCATCTCTCAAGTTCCTCCCACCAGACCACAGTTTGTAAGCGGTAAATGAGCTGCTGGTTTTTTCCATGGCCAAGGTGGATCATAGAAGCATGATTCTGCCAGGAGGCTTTTGCTCCAGTGGTGTCTTGGGCAGAAAGTAGTGTCTACTTGTGAGCACTTCCTGGTGCTGTACTGAGTGGGAACAGAACTCCTGAGGGTTCTTGAGCTGCAAAAAGCTTTGATCCTCTGAGCTTTTGCAGGGGGTGAAGAAGTAGGTGCCCCCTCCGCTCTTATTTGAAAGGTGGATTTTTCAAATATAGTTTTACTTTCCTCAGGCTGAGAAGCACTGGCAGGCCCCCGGGCTGGTCTTCCGAGTAGGAGAGAATAGTGCCCGCTAGACAGTGAGCAGGACTGTGAGTGTCCAGCTTTTTGGACACATAAAATCTCATGAGGTCTGCACACAAATAGACCTGTGTCCTTGAGCTGAAGTTCAAAGACTTTCTAACTCTAAGAACTCGCCATGGGTGAGGCAGGCCGTGACTATGAACAGCGGCTACTGTATATATTTCAGGAACGTAGGAATGTACTGTTCCTTAGTCCTTCTCCTCTTGCGTTTTCTTTCCCTTCCTACTTAATCTTCCTCCTTCTTTTCACCTCCCTCCTTTTCCTTCTTTCTATTCTTTCCATCTCAGCTACTCTTTTTCCTCCTCCTCCTCCTGTCTTCTTCCTTTTCCTTTCTCTTCTCCTTCCTCTTTCCCCCTTCCTTCCTCCTCTTCTTCAGCTCCCCATTCTTTCTCCTCCCTTTTCTTCTTTCTTCTCTTCCTGGCTTGATAGATACTTCCCATTTATACCTGGGAACAAACATACCAGTAGCACATCAGAAGGCATTCTTTCTGTCTCTGGCAGCATTGCATTGGAGACTTTTCTATTTAGAAGTACTTGCTAATCTGAACAGCTAGTGGGAATTCACTGTTTATATCCACATTCTTAACATACCAGCAAGGGTGAAATTCTAGCTCCTTTTATCTTGTTAAACCAGGAGAGAAAAATTGATTTCCACTCAGCAGTTCATTGACTGCCCCACCCTGTTTGGTGAATTGATATTCCCTCTCCTACCAGCTTGCCATACCTCCCTGATCCTCCCACAAGTCTCAGCTATGAGGAAATGTGTTCCTGGATCATCCGTACTGAGTTATTGGCATCTTGATGATGACATCTACTTAGCCTTTGAGCATAGGTTTTGAATGAGTGCTCCTTGGAAGCACAGACACTCTGAGAGTAGATAAATGTCTGGATCTGCACTTTGCCACACTGCTTCACTGACTGGAGCTAAGGTAAGGATGTAGAAAGCTGTTGGCAGTGTTGCCAGCATAAACAGTTAGTTATAAGGGTCCTAAAGCCACGTTGGTGATTTGCTGAGGGTCACTCAGTACTCCGAGGGTTCACTTTGCCTGGTGAAGTTGACTTGATAGTACCTTTGGGTAGCATCAGCTCTAACATGAAAACAAACAACAACCAAAGACAAAATGTAACAAAAAAAACAAAGTAATGGGAAACCAACTAAGAGACGTCACTTTTTCATTCTCCAAGCACATAGTGCTTACCTGTTCTGGCAATCAATATACATAGATGTCTCAAGCCTTGCTGGGTGACTTTTCCTGGTGACACATGAGCAGATGTCTATTCATCCCAAATAGAGCACAGATGGCAAATCAAAAAATGACTCCACTCTAGCCTACTTTTGTGAACCAGTGAGTTTATTGGGATTGCTTACAGGAGCATGGGTGACTCACAGGCAGCTGTGTCACCAAAAGTCTGCCCAGCATGGGTGATGACTCACAAATGCTTCTTTCTTGGAGCTCCTTGCACTTGGTTAACAGGTTAACAGGTTGGAAACATGCCCTGCCCCCATAGTAGCTACTTATATAACATTAAGAGGGACTTCTTAAGTCTTGTAAGTTCTAGGGGCTTTCTGTGTCTTGTTTTATTGACTTCCCCTAGTCTTAATGATCCTCCCTCCAGGACGGAATGTTTCATTTCACAGGAAATGGTTACATAACTGATTTGGTCTCTGACCTTAGATGATTAAGTTCAAGTTGGAGTCATGCAAACTGTGACTGAAGCACAGGTGATAAGTTCTGTAACAGACACACATGAAGGTAGTAGGCGACTATGCTGTGAATTTTCTTGGGGAGATGCATACAAATACCTGTTCATTTCAGATAGGCACCAATAACAGATCAAAGAAATGATTCTGCCAAAGTCTGGCTTGTTGAACCAATGAGCTTACAGGAGTTACTTATAGAAGTACAAGTAAAGGATTTCATAGAGTGTCATAGGTCACTTGAAAGCAGATGTGATAATGAGAAGCCAGCTGAGGAGAGGCTTTGGGAATCTTGTGGGTTTCCTGGGCTTCCTGAGCATTTTGAATTGATTGGCTATAGGAAGGTCCCCAGACCATAATGACCTGGCGTCACTCCCTAGGGGGATGGGCCAATTTCCTAGCAACTGTTATCTCTAGTGGGTGGGGAAAGAATGCAGTAAGACGGTCCTTCCCCTCAGGGCATTACTAGACTTCTCCACCCACATAGTTCAGGCCTTAGTAATAGCTGCTAATTTTTAATCTTTTTGGTCTCAGTGGTAGCATGTTGTTTCTAGAATCTCTCAGTAAGGGACTTGGATTGTGGCTTAGTGGTAGAGTGCTCTCCTAGAATTCCTCAGTGAGGGGTTAGGGTCCTGGCTCAGGGGTACAGCACCTGCCTAGAATCCTCCAGTGAGGGGTTAGGGGTGTGGCTCAGTGCTAGAGCACCTTTGTAGGATGCCTGGGCACCTGGGTTCAAGTTTAATCCCCAGTAGTAGGGAAAATAAACCAAACAGTGTTAAACAATTCTGCTGCATCACCAGCTCTTTTTATTTCATTTAGGTCATGCCAAGGAGAAAAACAGAGTTGTTTACTGAATCTGGGGCTGTTGATCACATTTATGGTACTTTTCCCACACGCATATCTCTTTTCTCCTTCCAGGAGATGGGCAGGTGGATTTTGATGAATTCATGACAATTCTTGGGCCCAAGCTGGTGTCCTCAGAAGGTCGAGATGGTTTTCTTGGAAATACGATAGACAGCATCTTCTGGCAGGTAAGTGAGATTTTTCACATAAGAATTAAGCCTAGTGGTATCATGTTTTCTGGGATCAACTAACTTTGATGTAAAGTCTTAGGTGTCTATTAAGACAGAAATAAACTCCCTTGGACTGGAGTGATAGATGCTCTTTGAATCGGATGTTTTAGTTGAAGTCCACACTCTTCTCAGTTAGGGTTTGGAGAACTAAGCTGTCTCCTCACATTTTTTTCCATGGAATAGAGTTTGCATTTGTGGAAGTAGAATTCCATGTCTGACTCATGAAGGGCTTTCTCATAAAGACCTTGAAAAGGGGACATTGGTTTCCATATAAACTTTTTACTTTGGGCTAAACTCATAAATATTCTCAATGTAGGGGTTCAAGAGAGATCACTGATGCAGGTTGTCCTTATGGGTAAGAGGTTTATGGGGGGGGGGTTATTAATGCCATAGGCAAACTGGCATGAAAGGGGTTCTGAAGAGAATTCAGTCCCATGAGACAGAGTGGAGGTCTCTTCCTAGGACAGTGGTTCTCAGCCTTCCTAACGCTGCAACCCTTTAATATAGCTTCCCATGTTGTGGTAACTCCCCCCAACACCATAAAATTGTTTCATTGCTACTTCATAACTGTAGTTTTGTTACTGTTGTGAATCATAATATAAATATCTGATATGCAGCAGAACTGATATATGACTCCCCCAAAGGGGTCACACCCCACAGGTTGAGAACCACTATCTCAGAGGTTTTAGGGAAAAAGGTGGTGGTCCTATGCCATGTAGGTGCTGAGAGCTCTGTAGAATATACTTCCAGTCAGATTATATCTGTCCTCTCAGCAGCAGGAGTTGGTCCCCTCAGTTAATGTGTCATCTCTCATGTGGGGTACGGTTCCTGTAGTCTCCGATTGCTTAGGTAAACTTCCTCTGGGAAAGCGAGGATTGCAGACTCACAGTTCACAGACCATCGCAGCATGGTAGCTTTCGTTTCTTCTACAGCAGTGTGAGGGGAGAGAGAAGGAGAGAAGAGGGAGAGGAGAGAAAAACAGACATAAAGAAAAAGATACAAGAAAGAATGTGTATCTGTTTCTCTCTCTCCCCCTCCCCACTTCCCTTCTGTTTCCTCCCCCACCCCTCTCTCTCTCTCTGTGAGCTTGGTCTAAGTAGGTTCTAGTTCAAACTTGACAGTCCCAGGAGACTACCTTGGGTACAGGGTAGTTTGTGTTGGAGCCTGTCACTACCGCTGCTACCATACTACCATTGGATCCATACTACCATTGGATCGTATGATCCAATGGTCTTATCTAAAAACTTGCATCCAATGCTATCAATTTACAGCCAGTCCTGTCTTATGAATTCTTGTTGGAGATTACTGATGCCTACACTTTAATTATTACAGTGCCACTAAATCATTTTTACATCACTTCTCTTTTAAAAATGTGACTATTGTCTCATGGTTATGGAATTGGGGGAATGGGTTATTAATCTTTTGTTTTTAAAACATGAGCTAAATGAGTTGTCGAGTTCCGTTGAATTAAATTTCTTTTTAGGTGTCTAAATTATGATTGAAGCTGGGCAGGGTGCTACATATTGTGATCCTGGTACTTAGGAGATTGAGGCAGGAGAATTGCTACGAGTTTGAATCCAGCTTGGGCTACAAAGTTGACAGAGTGAGACCCTTTCTCACAAAATCAAAACCAAAACCAAAACAATACCAAACAAAAATGAACAAATGAAAAACAAGGAAAAAATAGAAAAAATACAAACACCATCAAAAGACAGTGTTTCTTAAAACAGTTTTTTTCCCAGTAAATTATTACATTTTCCTAAGATAGATTAGTATATGATTAACCGTTGTTTTCTTCCTCTCTCATCTTACTGATACTCACCTAGCGTATGGGCAATGAGCATACACATACTTTCCATTTGGCTGTGACAAAAAATAGATGACAGAAACAATTTAGGGGGAAAAAAAAAGAGTCATTTTGGCTCACGGTTTCAGATGATTCAGATGGTCACTTGGCTCCATGCATTTGGGCAGGACAGCATGGCGGTGGGAGCACATGGCACAACATGGCACAAGAGAGATGTTCTTTGCTTTACAGTGGACAGGAGGCAGAGAGAGATCCAGAAGGAGTCAGCCATCACGTCCCCTACGGCTCTCCCTGAGTGACTTATCTCCTCAAGATCCCGTAAGCTCCTAAAATAGAGCCATCAGATAATTCAAACCGTGACCCTGTGGGAGACATCTCAGATTTGAGCCCCAATGTCATTTTCCAGCCTGTCTAGGTTGAGTTTGGAAGGACAAACGTTCCCACCCTGTGCACCTTTCTTCAGTTCCCAGGAATCCTTTCTACCTGTGCTCTGCATTCATAGTTCACCCTGGCCTAAGAGGATGCCACAGGACATCCTGAACTCTCTGCTTTTTTCCCCCTGGTCCCATCTCAGAGAGGAAGAGAGGAACTGTGTGTATCAGATCCTTGTCTTACATGGTGGCCCCAATTCTCCAGATTCTTCACCAAATGGCATTTCCAGGACCGGGCAACATTTTTCTACCACAACACTGGCTCTCTTTAGCATAGCTCTGTCATTACTGCTGTGACCACAAGTAGGTAAGTCTTACCTCCAGACTGGTAAGACAGGGTTTAGCAAAGTGAGCCAGGGGAGAAATTGCGCCCAATATTATTTATTTTTTAAAATGCCTTTTGTGTGATTGTATGTGTGCAAGTGTTCATGTGTATGTACATATGTGTTCTTCAGGAGCCATCTGCCTTTATTTTCTGAAGCAGGGTGTCTCACTGGCCCGGAATTTACTGATTCAGCTAACCTCACTGGTCAGAAAGCCCTTGGGATCTTCTTATTTCAGCCTCCCCCAGTTGCTCAGTTTACAAGTTCAGCCAGCATATACAGCTTTTTGTTGTTTTGTTTTGTGTGTGTATGTGTGTGTGTGTGTGTGTGTGTGTGTGTGTGTGTGTGTGTGTGTGTGTAGGGGGGAGGTTCTGGAGAATCAAACTCAGGTCCTCCTGCTTCTAAGGCAAGCACTTTACCAACTGAGCCATCTCCCCGTCTCATCCTGTAATATTTGAGTGACTTTTGGAGTGCAGTGTTTTCCCTCTCCCGCGCTTACTCCCCCAGCTCAGAACAGCTAATAGCCAACAAGCAGAGGAGCACCGGTCAGATCCCAGCAGCCATGCTCTGCTGCCTCCGCTCTGCTGCCTGATCGCTGAGAAACAGTTCGACAAAGTGCAGCACCCGCAGCAGCCACCCCTGAGTGGAGAGACGCTCCCAGCCTCCATGCTTGGGTGGCTGGGGTCTGGGGGTGTTAAAAGAAGGCTGTGTGCACACGTGACACATTTGCACGAAGGTGTCTACTTGGTCCGTGGCAGTGGTTGAAGACAACGTAAGAAAGAGGAGCAGAAAAGCAGGCTTCTGCCATTCCAGGAGGGGATACTCGCAGCAGGAGGGAAGAAATAACCGTAGACCGGATACTATGCTAAGAGACCAGCGAGATTCCTATGAGAGCTGCTTTCCAGTTCTCACAGAAGCGCGGGTGTGAGCTGAGGCTGAGGTGGGGCTCCTCGCATGGTGTCATGGCCGAGGAGCAGACAAGGAGTATTTGGCAAGTCACACAGTTTCAGCAGGTCACGAACTAGAGAGCAGCTCAGCTGGGTGCTTTGGCTCTGGCTCCCTCTGGGGGGAGGGGGTGCTGCCAAGATGCCTGCTCTGGTCATTAGAGGCTTGGCTGGGGCTCAGGGATGTACTTTAGGCTGCCTCATTGCCCTGGCTGGCAACCTGTTCTCCGGTCTCCACCATCAGGGCCTCTCCACAGTGCCATTGGAGTGTCCTGGCATGGCGCTGGCCTCCATGAAAGCGAAGGATCAAAGAGAGCGCAGGGCAGAAGGCACGAGCACGGTCCAACTTTGCTTCTGCGTACGTGTGTGTGTGTGTGTGTGTGTGTGTGTGTGTGTGTGTATGTGTTCATGTGTACGTGCAGATACCCATGTGTGCACGTGTGTGTGGAGGTCAGTGGGCGCCACCCTCTGTCTTTTTGAAGCAGAGCCTCTCAGTGGCTTCGAGCACACCAAGTAGGCTAAGCTGCCTGGCCAGTGAGCGACGGCAATCCCAGGTGCATGACCTCTACTTCTCCAGCGTTGGGATGACAGGTGTGCTCCGCCTGTTCCCATGTGCACGCATGCAGGCGTGCATATACCCGTATTTACTGTGTGTGGGAGCTAGAAGTCAGCTCCGAGCATTGTTCCCCAGGAGCTGGCCACTTTTTTTTGTGCTAGAGTCTCTCATTGGGCTTTATCAATCCGGCTAGGCTAACTGGCTAGAGAGTCCCCAAAACCACCCGTCCCTGTCTCTCCCACACAGGGATCACAAGCACATACCAGTCCAGCTTTTAACATGACGCTGGGAATGGAATTCAGGCCCTCATGCTTGCTAAGCAGGCACTTCCTGACTGAGCTGTCTACCCAGCCTGAGCGTCCACTCCTGAGCTGATATTGCTGTCACAAGCCTCGCTTTCTCTCCAGTTTTGCATCCCTTTCACCTTAGAGGAAATGCAAAGGTGGAGGCTCTTTGCTACATCATTGACAAGAAATCTTATGAAGCACTGAGCTCATCTTCCTAATTAAATCCTTTTCCTGACGCTCTTTCCTTACTGGAGCTCTAGCCCACATTGCCAAGGGGGAAATAAGATCAAATGTGATTCTAAATCAACAAAAACAACTATTCATCCCCCAGTATCAGCCCTAAAATTATGCCCTACTGTATGTAAGTAGGGAATTGATATTGGTGATAATATTGGTGTTGACATTGGTGAAATTTAACTAGCTACACCCACAGCTTTCATCCTAAGGGATATGGCCTTGTTGTAGATGGTTTGGTCCAAAGTGGTATTCTGTGCCTATGTGTGAGGCTCCCTGAGCCCCTGGCATCCAGTTCAGGAGCCTCTTAGATGGTTATAAGTTGTAAAACTTTTGGTGTATGTTCATTCACTGCATGTGGGAGCCCAAAGGACAA